ACACACACGCATGTCGATGACGTCATTGTGCGTTTCGCCTGGCAGAGAGAAGAGGACAAAAGACAAACTGTACCATCATGTCGATGTCGGTAGCACAGGTGGAGAAGGCTCTTGCTGAGGTAATGAAGTATGCAGCGAAGGGCATCCACTACAACGGTGACATCGAGTTCTCTTTGCTGAAGGAGAGGGTGCCGAGGTACTTCGCAGTCAGTGTGGATATGAGATCCACAATCATGGCAAATGACGAGGGTTGTGTCAAGGCATGAATGCTCTTGCAACGCTTCAGAGAGTCACCACATGTACGTGTGGACAACGAAGTGGAACACAGTCCTTTTAGTCTAAAAGGAGTGGTTCAGTGGATGTGCAACGAAGGGATGTGCGAAGATGGAGATGTGGACGTGACAATGCACCAAAAAGGGGGAACGTATGCACCTGCAGATTTCAAATAGTTGCTGCGCACTGTGGCGAAGAACTCCGACATGCTTGTTGATGGGTCCAAAAACGAGTTGAAAAGTAGTGCTGCAGAGATCCTGGTGTTGTCCAGAATGAAGGACATCACACAAACACCACCACAGCACTTTCAAGATGTTCCTGTAACTGTTGCAGATGGTGTGGAATATGTTCTACTGGATCAGCTCTGCGATTTTATGAAAAAGAGTGATGAGGACACGAACGTCATCCACGAGGCGTTGCACGAAGTGACAGAGTTTGCACTGCAGGGTAAAGATCTGATCGAATTTGTGCCAGCGAGAGGAGAAGACGACTTCATATCCGGCAGACCGTTATGGGGGACTTATTGTCAAGCGTTTTGGACCGGCTCAGTCATGCAAGTTGCGATGTTGAGAGACAAAGAGAAAGAGAAGAAGAGTGGAAGTTGATCGCCAGGGAAACAAGTTTAGCAATCATTCCAGACAACGGAGAGACATCAACAGCAGGAAAATCAATAAGCAGTATGGCAGTCGATGTGCCTCCCATGCAGATAGTAGATACAGAGGAGGTAATGCTTGCGGATATCTTCAATGCTAACACTATGGAGAGAGATCAGTGTGATGTTGGATTCGAAGACGCCGATTTGGCAAGTTGTCTTGCAATATACACAGASAATRAAGATATAGAAGAAGATGAAGAAGAGGATGAGRAGGCATCATCTTCTGACGTGGAGGTGAGCGGCAGCGATGTCAGCAGCGACGAGGCAGACGAGGAAGATGATGTTTACTATGATTTGAAGGGGGCGGGTGGACAAATGTCAAAAGGTTGGACACATGCAGTTATGAGGTTGGCACGTGCTTTCCCCGATCTGCACAATGTGCCGCGTGTTGTGATGAAGGGGGCAACATCTGACGGTGCTCTACAGTATACCGCAGTCACCACTATAATGCAAGCATGCAACAAGGGGAAAAAGTGGTCACGTGTTGGCAATGATGGTTTGTTCTGGTGAACAGAGAGGCTGTGCTAGCAACATCACTGACGTGGGGGATCAACCTCAGTTGCCTCATACACGGCGCAATGGCGACAGCTTGCGGAGAGATATTGAACCCCGGCTTGTCAACAGGAGACGCCATAGTTGGTGCTCGGCCACGACATCTCTCAACAGGAGACGCCATAGTTCGCAGTCAACCTGATGACAGACATGCATAGCATATAACATTGGAGTAGTTATACAAACAACCCTCAACTTGTACATCCCTCGACCACGGTCGGGTTCACTACTGTGTGCCATATAAGTATCCACCGGTGTTGTTTGTTGTCGTTCTGGCCCGCACTAGTGAACCACTCTCTCTCTCTCTCTCTCTCTCTCTCTCTCTCTCGTATGTCTAGTTGTAGCTATAGTACAACCTGTACATCCGTCTACAGGTTTTGTGTCATGCTGCCTGTTGTTTGCCTCTCCAAGTACATGCGGTTCACAGCAGCGTCCAGACATTGGGTGCAACTTTATTTCAATCATTTGATGATTGTTACAATGTATGTCATAATTTGTTGCCTTCTGTAGCACGTGAGACACATCACACCCCCTATGATGACCAATGTGTGTATGTTGTGTCTTTTATTATTTATTTTTTTTTGCATTCTTTGTGATGTCAATTCAAATTTTGCAGGTTGTGAAATGTTTTGGCAATGGATGCGGAGGTCGGATGAGGTGCAAGTGTGCAATAATTTTGATACAGACGCAAAAAACACATACCACATTCACAAACGTTATGGATGGATAGTTGCAAACTTAACCAGCCGCACAAACGTGGTGATGAATGTCATGTCACATATCGTATACCTTGTGCAAGTCGTTGCCTTTTTCAACAGGACCATGGAACCTGTCGTGGCATATACATTATTGTGTCCGTCTGACCGCTAATCTTTGTCAATCGGGATCAGTGACAAAGACAGTCAGTTCCCAAAACGACATTCAAGACTCCATCGTTCTCACTCTCACACACAGAAGAGGAAGGGCAACACTTACATAATATAACAAAATATGTTGTGCAACTATAATTCGAACGACCTCAACCAATGTAAAAAATGTTAATCAAAGCACTGTCCGCACCGTTCTGTTTGTCTTTGGAATGGACTGCATGCACAGAAAATGGACAGCGGTCTACGGGTATGCGACCGTGGCAGGCCTTTCATGTCCTTACGAAGTTTGAATTCACATCGTGCGAGGGCATGCCCGGCTGTGGTGGACGAAAGAGCACAAGGGCAAGAGATGGGTGTTGTTGACGCCTGCGGGCCATCAAACATAGGTGCAGTGAATCTCGTTAGCGATGAGAGCGAGGACATCAGAGCCCCCGAGAACGCAGACGGGGAGGGCAGGCCATTCGCAGAGCAGCAACCGCCGCCTGCCGAGACTTTTAACAGCTCTCGCAAGCTGGCGGCATTGATTTTCTCTGCCAGGGGCGGCGTTGGTATGTCGCAGAGTGACATAGATGCTCTCTTGTCACTTCTCAAAGACCCGAGATTCAACACGACAGACATTGCGTACCGTAATTTTAATATCGCATTACAAAAATGCGAGACGGTGTCTTCTCTAAAGGTGTCCCCGCCGTCAGAGGACCCGCCGTCAGAGGACCTCAGTATATCTGGTCCGCGCAGCGGGGCGCTAAGTTATCACATCCAGTCGATCATTCGAGCAGACAAAGGTGTGGACGAGAATGAAAATCCACGTTATGTTATTCCTCTGTCGCTTTATTCTGACAAGACACACACGGACGGTCGTCAAAAACAGACGACGTACCCTCTGATGATGTCCCTAGCCGACCACGCATCCGAAACCACACTGCTGGCCTATCTTCCTGTGCTTCATCATCGTCCACGTGACAAAGGATGGGGTCTACAGTCCACCACATTCAGAAAGCGAAAGACCGTCATTTTGCACAAGGCCCTTACAGTGGTGTTGCAGTCTGCGAGGGAGGCATCTCATGACGGAATAATGATTCTGACAACGTGATTCGGGGACATAACTTTTCACCCTTCCCTTCTCAACTATATACAGAACTACCCAGAACGATGTGTGCTTGCGACTGTGAAGTTTGGCGTATGCCCGACATGCACCGTGTCCAGAACAGACTTTGATGTCCTAGCCGATTTCACGGACTGCAGGAGATCACAGATGCTCGAAACACACCTCACAGCAGCTGTGTTCACATCCGACGACATCGACGTGGACGTGCAGCGAAAGAACGAATGTCAGAGTTGAACATGCATAGGCATGTTCAAAAGAACGGCCTTTGGGGGTTCTACAGGGGCCCCAATGGTGACAACCCTCAACTAGACTACCACCTGGCATTGGAGCCAGACCGTATGCACACAATCGAGCATGGCATATTCCTACACATGATTGACGCATTCAGGACGGCAGCGTTTGATAAGTTGCCGCACATACCGCAAATAGAGATCTTCAAGGAACTAGATGCCAGGTTGCAGAGCGTTAGTGAGAGATGCACGCGAACATACCCCCAACTTGTGCTGCCGGTGGCCACTGGCAGCGATTTTTTTTCGAGGGAGGGTCGGTTCGAGGCGAAGCAAAACCGGTCTGTGATGACAGTGTGCGTGTTCCTTATTTGTAATATTGTCCCACGCTCGACAGGCAAGGGCATCACCCTTTGTTTTGTGAAACTGATGAAAATGTATGTACAAGTGTTTCGGTGCACAACACACACTCGTGCTTCGCTCGATAAATGCGACACTTTGATCACGGACTTCATTACGACCATCAAAGCGAAATTGGGGAGATATCAACCATCAGAATGGAAACTCCCCAAGTTGCACGATCTGATGCATCTGAGAACGTGTATTGAGCGATCCGGTGTTCCTGACACCTTCGCAACAGATGTTTGGGAGCATCACCACAGGAAATTCTGCAAACAGCCATACCTGTCATCAAACAAGTGGAAAGCTTCAACCCAGATGGTGAACCATGTACGCCGGTCGTTGGCGTTGCAAGAAGAGACCGGGATCGTGAGGAAACGGAGGAAGAGAACAGCCGAGAATCGATCGTTTGTGACAGACTGCATGGCCACGGGAATGAATACCCTCGCACTACGCGATACGGGAATCCTGCAACTGCGGTGGTTCGACATCGATGACGAACACATACGGGAGGGAGAAGGCATTGACAACCGTGCGTGTAAGATACTCGAAGAGCTTCCTTTCAGACGTGATTTTCGAGCAGCGCTTACGACCTACAGGTGGAGAATGGTTGTCAATCTCCTTCTAATTACCTGCTTATACACACACGAACACACCTGGCCATCGCCTGCGTACAGGACGGAACAAACAGGGGCACACTTGTTCAAACTGCAAGAGCGTCTCTACAGTTCCATGGGAGACCAGTGCACAGTGACGTCGCAATTAGAGCAGAAAACGAATGCACATGGTTTGCATCAGTAGCCATGTTTTTTCTTGTGGCCGCACCGACGAACAACGGAAATATGGAACACAGCTGCGGATTTGTGCAATGGTACAAGGAGGTCGACAGTGAACGGCAACACGTGACAAGATGCAAGAAA